AGTAGGTGGTGGTGAGAGAGAAACCAAAGGACTTGTATGCATACATATTAGCATAACCAATGGACATTGGTTATGGGGGATGACACTGGGGTGGTGGGGGCTTGCCCAGAGTGGGGTGGGAATGGCTGTGGGGGGGGTCAATTGGGGGAAAAGGAGACATATGTAAAACTTTAAACAATAAAAGAAAAAGAGTTGCCATTTATTGTACAGTTGGTAATGATGGTAGAAAGTCATTTATTCATTCAACAACATTTACTGGGCCAGGCAGTATTCTAGGCTCAGGGAATCAATAATGACCCAAGCAGATAAAGTGTTAGATATTTAGGTTCTTTGGTACTTTGTATGCATTATCGCCATCCACAGAGTCGGCACAGCACTGCCATTTAGTGTTATCCTTCCCATTTGAGGATGAGGGAGCTGAGGCTCTGAGAGGTCAGAGCTGCCAAGGGATGAGCCTGGGACGTGAATCCAGTTCTTCCTGATGCCAGAGTCCACTCTTGAGCACAATGTGATACTGCCGATCAAGGAAAGAGCGAGTGCTGGAGCGTGCGTGCGTGCGTGCATGCGTGCGTGCATGTGTGGGGGGGGGTGCGTGTGCGTGTGTGTATGCGTGTGTGTGTGCGTGTGTGTGCTGGGAGGTGGTGTTAATTCAGCGTGTGTGTATGCGTGTGTGTGTGCGTGTGTGTGCTGGGAGGTGGTATGTGTTAATTCAGAAATGTAAACAGCTGTCGTCGTGACACGGCGATGATTGTGATCATCGATTTGCAAACTGCAAGAAGCCCTGGTTGTGGCTTCTAGTCTTGGGCTCAGTCTACCATTTCACGGCTTCTGGTCAAAATCAATGTGTCCTTGGCTGCCTCCAGCAGAGAGAACTCTTAGGCTGATGTTGATAAGCAGGTAGAAGCTCAGAGATCCCGTGGTTCATTCCCAGGCCTGCCTGCTGAGTAACTGCTGCGTGCCCGTGGGCACCATGCCCACTGAGAGGATGTCCACGCCCATCGAGCTGGGGCGCCAATGTTAGGGGCTGTGCACAGAAAGAGTGAAGTGCCCTGGTCCCCGGGCTGCTCAGGGTGTGGATGCTGGGACCCAGAGCCTGTTCCCCACAGACTGGGAAGGAAGTTTCAGAGGCAGCATTTCAAATGCCACTGAAGCAGGGGAAGGGGTGGCTGGACATCACAGTGGAGCACAAAGAGCCCAAGAGGAGTGTTCTGTTCTGGGGGGGGTCTCTACGGCCTCATTTTGTTTCCACCGGATGCTACTGTTTCTAAGCAGCATGGCCATTACTTAGCTTCTGGGGCTGCTCACTCCTTCCGTCAGTCCCGAGGCTGTCCCGTGGCACACTGACCCCGTTGACATACCTCACAATGTGGGCCGTGCAGGCCTGCAGGAAGCTCATGGCCATGGGACATGAGAGGACTGGGATTCTGGCCCTGGCCCTGCCCCAGCACGTGGGGGCATCTGGGACAAGTGCCTTCGCTCCTGGGCTTTCCTTTTCTTACCCTTAAAGCGAAAGGGGTGCAACTGGATGGTGATGTTCCCTATGATCTCCTCCAGCTCTAAGATTGTGAGTTTGTTACCTGGGTATCTGCAGCCTGAAAGCGTCCTTTTCATCCTCGTGTCCTGCTGTCACATTTGCTGCTCCTTAAGCACAGCGTTTTTCCTATTGCTGCAGTGCCCATACGGCTAGTCCTCACTGTTGGTAACTATTGTTAAGTTAATGTGTGACTATTGCAGGAAATCATGAAGGAATGAAGCGCCTGTCACATGTGGCATCTCTTGCAGGCGGTGGTTCCCTGTGTTTCAGTGTGGTTGCCAGGAGGACTGAGATAACCAGTGTGGGCACATAGAGTCAATTCCTAACCACTGCTGCTGCTGCTGCTTTCTGACATGCTGCTTTCTAAAACTATGGGATAGTGTGCATAGGACTTGGAACCACTTTTTCTCAATAACGGGGATTGTTTTCCTCATGTTTCTAATATTCACTCATTTTAATGGTGGCATCCTGTCCCACGATAGGGCTCACAGTAGTTTATTCAACCAACCCCTTAGTCTTACACATTCAGGCCAATCAAGCTTTTCCATATGATAAACCACATAGCTAACCATTCTAACTTATTTGAAAAATGAAATGTATTGCTTTGCCACAGGAAAAATGTTTTCACTACATGATTCTGATCCCGTGACACCATCGGCCCTGCCCGCTTCGTGAGACGGGAGGTGGGACGCCTACAGGAGGGCGGGCGGATGTGCTGGGCACGGGCAGGCACGATCTCCATCCGTTACACCGTTGGGGAGAGGAAAGCCCTTTCCCTAAACCCAAAGCAATGCCCTTTTCTTTCCTGAACTGACGAAGGGGAACATGTGGGGCCAGGTCCCGTGGGAAGAGGATCCAGCCAGAGAAGGGAGGCCTGGCTGGGAGCGCCCTTCTGCTGTCTGGCCTCAGACCAAGAGCTTCGGCTTCTGGATCCCGGCTTATTTTTCTGTGAGTGCGAATATTAGTGCCGTTGTTAGTGCCGCCTGCCCTGGTTTGGATGATGGAAACTGGGGAGGTTGTAAGCATAACATGGAATCGTAGGTGAAGAGTTAATTTGCAGCCTTAGAGGAAATGTACGAAAGTGAGTTACTGGGAACGTGGGGTCCCTGGTTCGTCTCTGGAACTGAGTGTGTGTAGAGCTAGCAGTGCTGGTTGAGAAAGCCTTTACCTCACACACCACAGCTATGAAGAGGGAGCAGAGGCGGTAACTCGACCCTCTCCTCTTTCCATGCTTCTTGTTTCTAATCGTTGCCAGATGTAGACTGGCAGTGAGCCCAGAGGGGAACACTTTTTCTGATAGATGTAGTTTTGTTTCTGTCTCCCTTCTAGACAAAGAATTCTTGAAGGAAAAGGAGAAGTTAGAAATGGAGTTAGCAGCAGTGAGGACTGCAAGCGAGGACCACCGGAGACACATTGAAATCCTGGACCAGGCTCTGAGCAATGCGCAGGCCAGGGTCATCAAGCTGGAAGAGGAGGTGAGATGG